GGTCGCCGCTGGGCAGCTGCTGGGTTGCAGGCAGGTCCCCCTCCACCCCCGGCATCGCACCTTCCTTTTTTTGTACTTCCCAACTTTGTGACGCCCGGCATTCACCCGCCTGGCTCTGGCGCGGAGCCCCGCAGGGCTGGAGCTGCAGGGGGTGCGGGGCGGCTGAGGCCGGGCGCCATCTTACACCCCGCTCCCTGCCTCACCTTGGCCTTGCCACAAACTGTGCTCCCTTTTAACCATTTTAAAGCACACAAGTTAACGAAAATAACCTCCAAATGTACTTTATTCTGGATAAACCCATACAAACACCAACATGTATTTGTCATTTGCACTTTTTTTTTTTTTTTTTTACCATTTTTAAACAACAGGTTAACTTCTGTACAACAGGAATTACTTTACACATTAGTAAGGTTTGACTTTAAACTAGATGACTGCAAAATAATGCTCTGTAAGCTAGTGTTAGAGAATATGCCGTTTGCCCTAGCTGTTTGCCTGTAAACGTGTGGGAATACGTTAAAGAGAAGTTTGCTTTCGGGTTGGAGAATGCTTTTAGACTTGGTGGGTTGCCATGAATCCAGCTTTAGTCAGAGGGGGTGCTTTTTGGAAGGGTAACAGCGAATTGCAGATACGGAAGGTGCGCCGACGTTGTGTGTGCTGACCCAAACCTACCAACAGAGCCACAATCACGTAATTATACTGCACATCACTTCGTGAGATCCACTTGATGGGTTACAGAGTCCCGGCATGACTTTAAATGGGTTACTAACAAGAGTGACACTGTTCAGGAGGCTTGAATAAAAGGCGACAATCCTATGCCAGGCTGTAGGCTACAGCTACAGAACCTGCTTCAACACATACTTAATCTCTAGAACTCATTAAAGCTATTGTAGCAAACAAGCAGTAGTACAAATACAACCAATTTTTTTTTTTTTGTTTCCTCATCATATAAACACATACAGTGAAGTTCACAGGATCAGACCCACGCAAACAGATTATATTTTACAGCTTTTTTTTCTTTTTTCAAGCAGAAATATTGGGCGGTTTTGCTTTTGTTTTTGTTTTTTTCTGCCTGTACAGAAAGTTACTGTTGAACAAAACTGTCACAGTTCCTTCACATGCACTGCCAGCCAAACCCCTGAAGTGGACTGGAACCGCTGTCTAACTGGAAGGAGTAACCTGCTCGTGCCCCTCCTTTAATAGCAATTGCTGTGCTTTTTTTTAAAAAATTTATTTGATGCTGTTTTAAAAGGTTAGGTTAAGAACGATTAAAAATCAAGCCCTTAAGTACAGGTATTCTAATCTTAAGTGCTGCTCGAGCCACAGTCCACTCCTTTAGGACAGAGGGCAAGCCAGGGATAGGGATGGGGTTTGTTTTTTTTTTTTCCCCCCATTAAAATTAAACTTACCACTACATATTGTGCCAGGCAGAGAAGAGAACTGCTGAAAGTACTGCAACGTCGTAGTGCAGTTTCCTGAACAAAGCCATACATTCCATCAGTATAAAGTGTAAACTCAATAGCAAGTGTAAGACTTGAATTAAAAAAAAAAACAAAACACAAACAAAAAAGCCATCACAGTACGGGTTGGTGGCTGCCCTCACTGACCCGCAAGAGGTGCAGTTTGTGCAATCACAGGGCAGGGAGGGGGCAGACCAGTAGGCAACGCGTTTTTTTGTGTGTGTGCGTGCTGCTTCCCACCTCCACCAGCAGCCTTGCTTCTGCTGAAGTGTGGGTAGCGTTCGCCGGTGCTGGCCGGCCATGTGCCGTGGGATTGTGCCTGGCACCAGCTCCTGGTAGCCACCACAGCCAAACCAGCCAGCTGTAGTAGGGATGAACTGCAGCCTCCAGGCGCCCCCAAAGCAGTGACACGCACTAAGAAATGTTTTGAGCCCTCCGCTGCCCGGGAGCCCCGCAGAGGCATCGCTGGCTGGTCGTGGCCCCAGCACAAGATTTCTGCACCAAACCTGGGCCAGCTGCGCGCAGCCCCGGCACCCTCACCGCTGCCAAGGCAGGGAACAGCTCATCCCACTCCTGCAGGCCACCAAGCTACGCCACTCGCCTCCAGTGGCGGGACCCTCCGGCAAGGTGTGGCCGTGTGTCACCGCCTCCCCTCTACGGGCAGGCTGCCGGCTCCGCG